GTGAGCACGGTAGGTAGGGTGAGCACCGTGGGCAGGGTGAGCACCGTGGGCAGGGTGAGCACGGTGGGCAGGGTGAGCACCGTGGGCAGGATGAGCACCGCGGGCAGGGTGAGCACCGTGGGTAGGGTGAGCACCGCAGGCAAGGTGTCAGCCTTTGAGGGTGGGCATTACAGGGGTGCAGATGCTGCAGGGGTGAGGATGTGAAGGTTACCCAGGCCCTGATGAGTAAGAATTGGGGGCTCAATATAGGGATGAGGGGTAATATGGGGTGTGTGAATGGTGGAGGTGTGAATTCTGGGGTGTCGCCGTGGGAGCCTTTGGGGTGGGGGTACATTAGGGCACAAGGATATATTTGGGGTCTCAGCTGCCACTTGGGCTGACAAAGGGAACTACAGTTTAATCATCATCCTATTCCTAGTCTGGCTAGTTTGACCTAGGGGAGTAGGGGCGGGGCTTGGGGACATTCTGGCGTGAGCTTGGGAGGCGGGGCCTACTCAGAGGGAAAATGCTAGGGGGTGGGGCCAGTACCTGCTGGGGCTGTAGCGAGAGTAGCTGGGGCTGCGGCGGGATCCAGAGCTTCTGCTGGGCGGGCTCCTTGGGCCAGACTTGGAGGAGTAGCTGGGAGAGCGCGAGTAGGACCTGGAGGAGAGGAGGCCACGCCTGAGAAGCCTGCTGGCCGCCAGGGCTGCTGGATGGCCAGCTGGGCGCAGGCCTTCTGTTTCTGGAGGCCAGGCCGAGGCAGCAGGCCCTCCCTGGCTAAGTGCCCTCCCTGTCACGTGGTTAATAATATGGGCATCTTCCTCTTACCGAGCTCTTCCTATCCTGGCCACTTATTAGCCACATGGCCTTAGGTAGGTGATGCCTCTGTGTCTCTGTTTTCTCATCTCTAAAATGGGGTAAAAACAGTACTTACCCCATAGAACTGTAAATTAAATGAGTAAATTAGGGTAAATCACTTAGCATACTAACACAGAGCCAGCAGTGGGAAATATTAGCCATGATGTGTCTATCCTATATAATAAAAGGCTAATATGCAAATAGACTGAACGGTGGAATGACCGGTCGCTATGACACGCATTGACCACCAGGGGGCAGACACTCAATGCAGGAGCTGCCCCTGGTGGTCAGTGTGCTTCCACAGGGGGAGTGCTGCTCAGCCAGAAGCCCTGAGCTGGGCTCATGGCTGGTGAGCTCAGTGGCAGTGGTGGGAGCTTCTCCTGCCTCCACAGCAGTGCTAAGGATGTCTGACTGACGGGAGCGGGCCTAAACCGTCAGTCAGACATCTCCTGAGGGCTCCCGGACTGTGAGAGGGCACAGGCCGGGCTGAAGGACCCCCCGCCATGCACGAATTTCGTGCACCGGGCCTCTAGTATTATCATATTATGCATTTTACTCTGTGCCAGACACTGAACTAATATTAGCTTTGGGTGTATTATCTCATTTAATCCTCAGCACATCCTAGGGTTGGGTCCTGGGACCAGTCCTGTTGTGTATGAGGAAACAGAGGCACAGGGAGGGGATGTAATTTGATCAAGGACATCTGTTGGGAATTCCTGTTTGAAGAGGGGAGCTGGACTGCGTGAAGCCCCAGGATGATCAGGTGGACTTCCAGCCCTGAGGGTTCGTGTCTGTGCATTCTGCTGCATCCTTATTCGACATGAGAAAAAGAAACAATTACTAATCGCTATTGTAACTCAGTGGTCGAATGCAAACAATGGACACTCCCTCATCTTCCTGTAGCCACACCCCTTGAAATGTGCCTTTGCAGCTCCTCCCACTCAGAGGAGCACCCCTTGCGTCTGATTGGTCGTTGTGACTTCTGTGGCTACAGAATGGCAGAAGGGATATCACGTCCATCCCAAGCCAGGATCTCAGAGGCCTCGCACACTTCCGCGCTCTCTCTCTCTGAACCTGGCCATTGCAGCGTGGAGAAGCCCAGACAAGTGAGCTGGAAGGTGAGAGACCACCCGGAGCAAAGCAGCCAGCCCCAGCTCACGGAAGACACATACATGAGCCCAAGAGAGATTAGAAGAACCACTCAGCTGAGCCCAGCCCAGATCGCTGATCCACAGAATCAGAAAGTAAATACTTGTTTAAGGATGCTAAGTTTGGGGGTAATTTTTTTTAATTTTTAAAAATATATCTTTTTATTGATTTCAGAGAGGAAGGGAGAAGGAGAGAGAGAGAGAATCATTCATTGACTGCCTTCTCCATGTCCCCCACTGGGGATTAAGCCCACAACCCGGGCATGTGCCCTGACTGGGAATCAAACTATGACCTCCTGGTTCATAGGTCAACACTCAACCACTGAGCCATGACAGCCGGTGGGGGGTGGGGGGGTATTTTATTTTATTTTTTTGCAGAAGCTAATTGACACACATCAGCTCCTCATCATGCCAATAGTAACAATAATAACTAATATGTATAATGTTCCAAGTTTTGCTCTAAGTAGTTCTTGGAACAATCCTTCAGGGTAAGTATTATTATTTTCATTTTGCACATGAGGAAACTGAGGTCCAGAGAGCTGAACGGAGGCCCAAGGCCAGCAGCTAGTACTGGATAATGGCATTCAACTCACGTCTGCCTGACGCTTCCGCCCACGGGCCCAAGGACGGCTCAGTCCCTGGTACCTCATCAGCTCCCTCAGGAGGAAATGCTTCAGAGCCAGGTCAGGCGCACTCACCTTTTCCCAGAGGAGGCGGACCGGCTCCGGGTGTACCTGGGGGTGGCCCTGGGGCTGGGGGACCGGGAGGAGTGGCTGGAGGACCGGGTGCTGGCATGGGAGGAGCTGCGGGAGCACCCTCTTCTGGGGGAGCTCTGGGCCGTGGGCGGGGCTGCACTGGACTTTTTCACCGGCGACGGCAGTCCCCTGTGGGAGGGAGAGCATAGTCAGTACCGCCTGCCTCTGGCCTGGGGCCCCGAGCTGGTACTCACCTCCCGCCTCTGCCTCAGCTGTGGTGCTCCCAGCACCCCCTCCCTCCTCTTCCCATCCTGCCTCCGGGAAGTGACCCCAGGCCACCGAGGTTGGAGTAGAGGCAGAGTGGGACACATCCCAAGGGGACACTTCACAGTATTTTGGGCCACTGGGCAGGGGCACGGTGGTCAATAACATCACATCACGTGCTGGGAGATCTACTCCCTTCCCAGTCTTGCCCGGCCCTCGGATTCCATTAGTGGGAAGGTGTGTGGGTGCTGCTGGGTTTCACCACCTCTCCAGGCTGTAGGCTCCCAGAGAGGAGCAGGCCACTGTGACCAACTAGAAATAAACACACCGTTTCACCATGTGCTTTTATGGGTGCCTTCTATTTAGGACAAGTGATATGATGTTCTCTTTAAGGTGGTACCGTAAGTGTCCTCACATGAAGCGTGAGTTTACTGAAGTGAGAGTGGCACAGAGGGAGGGTAAAAACCAAGAAGCTGGATTAAGTTTGGAAACCATAGTGTAGCCGTTCTGCACCTGGGAGAACTGAGACCCAAAGGGTACAGACGCTTGTTCAGAGCCACCGAGGACAGCGACTGCTCTGTTCTCACTGCCTAGGGCCACGCTGGGCTCGGTCAGGACCTGCTCACTCGGCTTGGACCAAGGGTCAAGTTCCAACAACAGTAGTAGGTTTCGTGGTTCAGCCTTCAGGCTCAGCTCTCCTCTCTGGACTCTGGGCCTAGGGGACTGTGTGTTCCTCCTGGAATGTCCCTGTCCCCTCCCTTGTGTCCGGCCTTGGAGCATTCCCACTGCCTGGCACCCCCTCTCTCCCCTCTTCACCGGAAAACTCCTCCTCAGGGTTCAGGCTTTAGGCTGACCTCACCTTTTCAGGGAGGCCTTCCTTGACACCCCCTGCATCTGGTTGGGTGCCCTCCAGTGTGTCCCCCCGGCCCTCATGCCTCCCTCTGCCAACGAGACCTCTTGGTCTCATGGTTGTTTCTTCCTCCTGCAGACACTGAGCGCCTTGGGGACGGGGCTCATGTCTCTCTGGACACTGTCCCAGCCCCTGGGCCGGAGCCTGATGCCTGGGCCCCGGCAGTCAACACAGCTGCAGGACAAGCACCTTGAGACGCTCAGTGCCCTGGCCCTTCACAGGCATCTCAGTCCGACCAACAGCCTCGTGAAGCAGGGACCACTGTACCCCAGTTCACAGAGGACTCCAGGCCTCCCCGACGCCCAAACCCCATCTGCCCAGCTCCGAGCCCACGCCCCTGCACCTCACCAGCCCCCCACCTTCACGGACCAGGGTTCCCCGGACTTAGAGCTGATGCTTCTTGCACTCCGCCATCTGCTCAGAGCTGACGTGACACAAAGAGCCGTGGATTTAAAGATCATTCACATTTCAAAGTGAAAGGCTGGGGCTGAATTATTTAGTGTGACTGCCCACATAGAGCAAATTAAGCAGGTTACTGCTGGACACTTCTAGGTGTTGCTCCAGTTCTGGGGACAAACCTGTGTTTGGATCCGGTGTTGACCCTCATTAACTGCGTTTCCGAATGACTCCGAGCCTCAGTTTCCCCAACCGCTAAAAAGGGGTTATACTGGGACCTATCCCGGAGTGAAGGAAGATGACTCGTGGAAAGCACTTGGCATAGGACCGAGCATATAGTTAGGGGTTCCATAAGTACTAGCTGCCACTATTATGATTGCTGGTGTTTTTATCGCTACTCTCAGTGTTCCTGTGTCAGTAGACACGTGTCCTCGCTCATCTGGGAATGTCACTGCCTGTTCTGGAGACACTGACATTTGCTCTGGCCCAGCCCTGGCTCCCAGCCAAGCTTGGGTGTGAACTGGGGTCAGGGATGTCCTGAGGCGGCAAACCAGAGGCCAGGTCTCTGTGTGGATGCCAAGCGGTGTGTCCAGGACTGAAGTGACCATGTGCTGGGCACACAGGGTGCTCTGTCCTTGCAGACAGCTCTGCCGCCACGGCTTTGTTGTCTTTCTGACCTGGGCCGGTTCCCCCTCCGTAGGCATCCTGGTGGGCCCTGCTCCCGGGAGGTCCCCATATTGATGCTGACACCCTATCGATCAGCCTAGCGCATTACAGCCCAGAGCTCCTGGGCCCCCACGGTCCCCCAGCTCAGCCTCCCGAGTACTGGGACGACCTGCGCGCTTGGCTTGGCCGTCTTCTGAAACCCGGCCACTGTGAACCAGAGCAGCCCCATCCCCAGAAGGAAGACCCCACTGTTATACGGCAGAGTGCAAGCCAGTCCTTCCCACCTCTGGCACCTCTGCATCTCCCCCATTAACACTCGCTCCCGGGGGGAAGGGCCCCCGCTTTTGTATCTCCGGCACCAACCGGCGTCCGGCCTGTGGGAGGTGCCTGGAGCTGAGGGAGGAGACCCTGCAGGAGGGTGTGGAGTGAGTGGGCAGCAAACTGCAGCAGCTGCTACCGTGGTGCTCTCCTCGGTGATGAAACAGCATTACAACTGTCTCCTACGTGGCTGCACGCAAGTGTTTTCCACAGAAAACTGCATCCAGCAGGTGTGTGAAATGGGCAAGAGCCATGTGAAGGTTTATATCTATAACTTTCCACAAGTGCAGCCTACCCCACAGTCAACATTCCCCACAGAATGGTACATTTGTTATAAATAACAAACCTGACCCAAGCCCAGGTCACAGGAGGGTCCACTCTTGGTGGTGCCCATTCTATGGGCTTTGACAAGTGTATAATGACACGTATCCACCATTATAGTCTGTACACCATCGTTTCCCTGCCCTAAGAATCCTCAGTCCTCAGCCTACTCATCCCCCGCTCCCAGCACAGCCCCCGGCGACCACTGGTCCTTTTACTGTCTCCAGTTTTGCCTTTTCCAGATGTGATATAGTTGGAATCATACAGTATGCAGCCTTTTCAGATTGGCTTCTTCCACTTAGTAGTATGGATTTTAAGGTTCCTCCATGTCGTTTCATAACTTAAAAGCTCATTTCTTTTTGGGTCTGAATAATATTCCACAGATTATTTCTCCATTTATCTACTAAAGGACATCTTGTCACTTCCAGGTTTTGGCAATTAAGAATAAAGCTGTTATAAAAACATTAATTGCAGGTTTTTGTGTGGACATAAATTTTCAGTACATTTGGGTAAATATTGTGGTCTATTTTTGAATGACAGTGACTTATTCTAGACAAGAATTCAGCCTCCCCCGGGCCAGAGTGGTTGGTCCACGGCGGGAAGTGGCCCAAGCTGGCCGAGCAGAGCCGATGAGCACCTGCCCTGTGCTCTGATGAAGTTTGGGGGAAAGGCATTTCCCTGCCAGTGGCTGGCTACACGGATGGAATGTTAGCTGGATGGACATCTGCCAGTGCCTTGGGAGGGCTGCTCGAGGATGAAGCAACAGAGGGAAGCAGAGCTGAGAGATGTAATGGGAAAGACAGATTCCCAAGGATATATTTTTGAGCCCCTGGATCCAGCTGTACCTGAAGCTGAATATTTCAAAAATCATTTTTAAAAAGTAGGATTTGTTAAAAACTATGCCAGTTCAAGTTGAGTTTTTTTCTCTTGCAAATAAAAGACTCCTGGGTGGGAGCCCAGTGGGAGCTGCAGAGCAAGGGTGCAAGACTGTGATGCTGAGCTAAGGCGGCCCCCTCCTCCCCCCCAGGGGACTGACCTTGGCTCTCTGCCCCTGCTGGTGGGGGAGAGATTGTCCGGAGCCGGCCCCTTGTTCTGGGGCGAGGAGGTGGTGAAGGAGTTCCCTGAATCAGAGGTGTTGCCACTGTTGAGGTCCGGGCCCTGGCTGCGTTCCCCACCGGGACTCTCCTTCTCCTGCCCCCGCGACCTGCTGGAGCTGATCTGCGTGGAGGGCGGCGAGGAGGTGTCATTGCCTGAGTCGTACTCCTGGGAGCGTCCGCGGGGGGTGGTGAGCGGGCTGGCTGTTTTGGTAAAGAGGTCAGCAGCAGACCCCGAGCCTGTGATCTGAAAGCAAAAACACCCGTTGGAGGCGCTGAGCATCGGCCGCGGCTGCGTCTAGACAACCTAGAAATGTTTACCGTCATGATGCACTGTAACGAGAGGAGAGAGGAAAGAAGAGACGCCAAAAAACAAAAGCACAACTTCCTGAGAGAATACCACAGAAAGGAGATATTTACCCCCTGCTAGGATAACTGGAAGATTGAGGTGTCATGCAGAGAAAAAGCATGCGATCCAGATTAAACAAAAGAAAAAGGAAATTATACAAAATTTAATTTCTAATGAATTAACACAAACCAAAGAGGCAACTTAATAGAAAGGGGGGTGGTGGTGGATACACCCTTAATCTAAAACAATAATAAAATAAAGGAAGGGGGAGGGGAAAGAAATGGGACTGTGGGCCTGAAAAAAAAATTATCTTGGAACTGAAAAAAATAAAAAAGATAAAGCCAAAGTTTTAAACTTAAACCAAATTCTCAATGATTTGGACTATTTTTTCTTTTAAATAAAAAGTTGCCTGAATAGATCCTTAAACAAATATCACATGGGGAAAAGAAATGAAATAAAGATGAGCTTTTAAAAAGATATATGTAAAGTCAAGGTCACAAAATGACATTTTAGTAGTTTTCAATTAAAGGGGAAAAGAAAGGGGGTGGGGGGAGGAAGTCAAATAGTCTGACTGAAAACAAACAAAAAGCTCTACGGCATCTGTGTGCGTCCTTCCCCCGGAGCAGGAGCTAAGGCTCTCAGTGGCGTCTAATAAATGCTCTCATGTCTTTGCGGATTTCATCCACTTACCAAGCAAGAGCTCCTCCTTTAGTAGGTGGGTAAGGTGTAAGAGAAAGGGAAGAGCGGGCAACGTGAGTCCATCATTAGAGTCGCAAATGACAAGAAAACACACACACCTTTCTGCACACCCTCACACTTGGCCCTGAACTTCGCGTTTTGGTTTCTCCACGTTCTGGACAGGGGAGGCGGCAGAGCTGTTCGCTTCCTCTGTAGGGGACCTCAAGCTGCCAGCGCTACCTCGAGTCAGTCCCTTAGTGCCCAAGCTGGACCGAGAAAGCTCGCTGACATGTGCGGGGCCAGAGGCTGCATCTGTCTGGGTGCCAGGATGAGGCCACACAGGGAGGGTCTGCTTCCAACAAGGGGCTTGGGGAGGGGCTTGGAGATTTGGCTTTGGGGTGACTGGGAACGAGGAGGGGTTCACCTAAGACAGACGGAGGAGTGAGGGGTGATGGAGAGCCGCCCGTGGGAAGGCGGCGGTGTGTTTAGAAGCGCAGCGGACGCTTTTCTCTCAGTTCTGGGTGTCTCACCTGGGATGACACCGGGTTTGGCTCTGGTCCCCGCCAACAGTGCAGGCGTTTTAGCTGCGGCAAGAGGAACCCCTGCCTGGGCCTCCTCCAACGATAACCATCCCCATGGGATCAAGAGGGCGCCTTGGGAACGACTCTCCCAGCACCTGAGACCCTAGGATCCTGTTTAAATGGCCCGAGCCCCCAGGGTCTCTTCGGCTCATCCCTGGATCTGCCTGTTCTCGAAGGTGTGCACACTCCCAGCTCCAGGGGCCTCTCTGGACAGGCCTTGGAGGTTCAGGCTGAGGTGTCAGCGTGCAGGTGTGGGAGGCCCATCCAGGTGCCGCCTGGTGGAGGCGGCGGTCGAGAAGGGAGGGCCAGGCCCTGGGCAGGTTTCCCACTCTGCCACGCCCTGCCCGGCGCCCTGAAGGGCCTGAGATCCCCGACTTAGATCGGAGATGCTTGTGAAGACAGGCTTGCCATGGCAGGAGCACGCATTTCACTGAAGTGAGCTGGCTTGACTTCTAGACATGCAGACGCTGCCCGGACCCCACACACATACTCTGTGGGCCTCACCATCATAGCCTGCCTGCTCCCACTTTATCTCACGCATTGCGGGCTTTCTTAGGAACATTCCTGCCTTCTCAGCAGTTGGCCTGAGGGTGAGACACAGAAACACGCAACGGGGAGAGTCGCCGAGGTGTCTCCGACAGCTCAGCATGTCAGCTCCGGGCCTGGGGGGCAGGGCTTCCTTGTGGATTCTCCCAGGAGGCCTTGGGCACAACCAAGGGATGGCCCAGCGTGGCCACGGTCTACCCAGCACGGTGGCTGCTGTCCCTGCTTGGGTCCCGGCTAGCTGTGCCCTGGAGAAGGGACCTCAAAATAAGTTGCTCAGGCGGAGTTTCTAGTTCTGTTTTGTCTTCCTCTTGGCAACGTGGATGTCACATCTCCCTGCCTCCAGGAGTGGGGAAGGGGAGGTGTATTTCCACAGCCGGTCAGGAGTCAGGAAGAACCACAGCTGGACCCGGGCCCGGCGCTGGGGCCGAGAGCGCTCAGCTGGGGCGTGGACCAGGGATGGGCTCTGAGACTCGGCCTCAGAGGTGGTGGATGTCTGGTGGCCAGGATGTCACCGGTGAACCAGGCAAGCCCTCCTTGGAGGGAACCAGGCTCCAGTTAAGGGGCCGTGAGAACAGCGATTCCCGTGATCCCTGGCCTGCTCGCTGGGCGCAGCCAGGCTGGGCCTTTCTCTCCCCAGAACCTGGCAGAGCTGGACCCTCCCCTTGTCTGTGCGCAAAGCCTTGGCTGCTCATTTCACATGATTGGCCCTGGTGCATTGTGGGTCCCCGCCGGCAAAGATTTGGTGAGTGGGAGGCCCCTTAGGGCTGGTGGCGGGAGAAGGGGACCTTTTCTTCTCCACCCCACACCCTGCGCTCACGGGGACACTTTCGGGGCGTCTCTACCTGACCACAGCCAATATCCACACGGAACTTGCGAGTTTAGAACCAAGAATTCTACATGGCATCGTGCTTCCCATTGTCACCAGAAAACAGAGAGAACGGTGCTACTGCCATGACCCCACGGGGTTGACATGACCCCCCACCTGGTGCCTAAAAATACCAACCCCTGCGGCCTGTTTACAAGTCCCGCTGCTCGGGATGAATCTTATTCTGTGACACGCATGACCGCGTCCTTTACAGCCCCGCCCTCTGGCTGCGGGTTCCCAGGTCAGGATTCACAACTGGCCTGGTCAGTGGGGGGAGGGGGTTTCACCCCAGGGCCCAGGGCACAGCAGTGTCATGTCACATCCCT